AAAATTCTTCTTTTGCATAAGGAAATTGTTATTAACATTCCAAAATTCCTGCACCGGATCATTACTTATTCAATCATCATATTATATATCCCTCGATCAAAATAAGCAAAAACGAAAGTTCGAAATTTTATATATTTATTTATTTGTATCTTCTAACTCTTTGAAAAATTTCTTGAAGTCCGTCATTGGGTCTCTAGGCAATGTAATTTCTTCTCAAACTTTTTTTTTAAAAGATACCGCAGTTGAAGCACAAAGGAGAATATGGTGTCCTTCTGGGATGACTTTCTCAGAATTTCAATAACAGTTCCATTCTACAATTTTGAGGGATCAAATTTTTTTTCTTTCTATTTGTTTATTTATTGGAAAACCACTCATTCAATTCAATGAAATAAAAAAACAAAAGCCCAAATAAGGAAAGCCGAAACGGCCCACAAAAAGCATCAAGTTTGATCCAAACCCAAGGAGAAGTAAACATGGCCTTTTGTCCTTTTTGTGCAGCAGCACCATCTTATTGGATACTTGGTCTAGAGAAATTTATTTTTGTAGAAAATTTTAATTCTTTGATTTTGGGGAAACCTTTTTAAGATTGGTTTTGAAGGAGAGAATGAAAGGGTAAGAATCTAGATAGTAAACTAGAGAGAATTGAGAGAGAATGAAGCAGCAATCCAAGGACCCATTCGAAGCGGCGTTTGAGGAGCAAGAAGACTCGCCGCCAGATTCTCCCGCGGCTCCTGATGCCGCACGCACCGCTCTCGACACCCAAGAAGACGACGACCCTCTTCTTCCTCCTGGCTCCAAAGACCCATCTTCCTCAGCCACGCCATTAGCGGCACCGCCACCACCACCACCACCAACAGCAGTAACTACAGCAAGAACAACACCTGCTGCTACTACAGCAGCGCCCTCTACCTCCGCTCGGGCCACAGTCAAGCACAACAAAGATGATGACGACGACGAAGATGAAGAGAACATGGATGTTGAGCTCGGCAAGTTCTCTGCCACTGGCGACCCTGACAAAATGGCCAAGATGCAGTATGTTCCTTTCTTACTTTTTCTTTAAACCCATTTAATGGCTCAGCTTTTGTTCAAGAAATTAAATGTGTTTTAATTGCTTGGGTAATTGTATTTTTGCATTTCAGTAATGCTCTTGTTTGCTGCATATGAATACAAATATTCCAAGTTGATAGAACAAGGGATGACAACTAGACTAGACTATGAAGGGCCCAAGTAGGTTCCAATGAAAACTCAGTTTGAAACAATAGAATTTGTAAAGAATGGATGGTTTTTAGACTAGATTGTGTACTTTGCAGTGTTCTAGGTAGGCTTTAAATCAATTTGAATCCTATTTCTTTCTAGGAGTTGTATGCTTTGCTTCCTTGAGAGCTTGTTGTAATCAGCATATATCATCTGTAATATATTACTAGTCTTCTTCTTTTAAACTCATAGGTCTGAATAATCTTTCAGGGCTATCTTATCACGATTCTCGGAGGAACAGATGAGTAGGTATGAGTCATTTCGGAGAGCTGGGTTTCAGAAATCCAACATGAAAAGGGTATGCTTCCTAATCATTTCTCCATGTAGAAGGCATTTCTGGATCTGATTAGCTGCATATTGGAATTTGGTTGGCAATGCACTTTTCTAGAGTTGTCATATTTGCATCAAAACTTGTTGAAAGCAGTCATTTTGGCATTAATATTTGTGTACGTTATTTGCATGCAGTTGTTAGGTAGCATCAGTGGAACTCCAAAAATTTCTATGCCTATGACAATTGTAGTGTCAGGGATAGCAAAGATGTTTGTTGGTGAACTGGTTGAAACAGGTATGTTATCTATTTTCATATTTCACTAAATAAAAATGAAAAATGACATTTTGTTAGTTAATATTGTTAGATTTTTATGTCACTGTGGCATTGTGATCCCTTTCCCTTTGGACTCTTATATAACAAATAAAAAAAGGAGTGTATTGCTTGGTCCAGAGAATTTAGTGTAACAGATACTTAAATGGTTCAACATTTTATGTCTTACCAAGAGGCTCTATCTATGTTCTTTTGCAGCCAGAATAGTTATGACAGAGAGGAAAGAATCTGGGCCAATCAGGCCATGCCATATTAGAGAAGCATATAGAAGATTGAAGCTTGAAGGGAAGGTACCAAAGAGATCAGTGTCCAGGCTCTTCCGGTAGATGGACCAGATTCATTTTATGTATCTACTTGGACAGGTTATCAAACATAACCTTGTTAGATCACATGTCTATTTATCTTTGTATTATTCTAGTTTTACTATATTCTTGTCCTGTCCTATTACCTTTTAGGCAGTCGAATTGAGAACATGTATTGCCAATGGGCTGCTTTAATATTTAACAATTGGAAGGTGAAATTTAGAACTAAATTGTTGTTTTTCTATGGTGAAGAAGCTGAATACTGCTAGGCCAGCTGACCAACTATACTTTAGCTGATAATTCTAAATCTATGGGAACAAATGGAAAAGGGAGAAACAGACAGATAAATGCTTGTATAATGATGTGTTTTTGTACCTAGAACCAAAAAGCTGGTTGGGTTTTGCAACTTAAGGAAGTAAAGTTGATCCAGAAACTGTCCTACTCTATGATGCTATGTTGTCAATTACAAAGTCATCTAACTTTCATCAGTAACGTCATTGTTCTTCTTGTAAAGTCATTTTTAAGACCCTCCTGTTCCTTTTGAGGGTTAAGACTTAAAACATCACAGGTGGTGTCTGGTGGGATCTGGTGGGATAGGTTGGTTTTCTGAAGGTTACTTGGAAGACTTTGAAACATCAGCCCATCATTAAAACATGTCTGATTGTTTTGAGCATTGATTATTGTCTATTTGGAACACTCTGAAATATCAATCCATGAGCAAAACATGTCTAATTTGTTTCAGGATTGATTCCTGATACTGATAGCCATGAGTCAAACATTATTGTCAATCCTGGCTTCCTGCCTATCAATGTGATCATGATTCATGACTAGGCTCAGGATTTTAAGACCAAAAGATCAGATCATGATCCCGTTGCTTGGTGTATATATGACAGCTAATGATCTACATTTCTGAACATTTCTGTTGTGCCTTCCTGGAGACAAAAGCATTCCGGAGCTGTCCTTGGTTTATTCCATAAATTGATAGTAGGTTTAGCTGTTTTACCCAATCATACTGAAGATCTGAAGCCCTCACTCATGATGCATTTAGCAATCCCAAAACTTGTCTATTATCTGATTTCTCTTTCTGTTTTGCTTCAAGGCTCCGTTTGCTTAGAGATATCCCTTTCACTACTCTCATTGTGGTACCACTTTTCTTTTTATTTGAAGTTAGAGACTATTTGTTGGCAAATTGATTTACACGTGGTTTTAGTTTGTACTACTAGGATGATATAACATCTCCTAAATATAACTCATGTATCTTGCACAAAACTGTTTTATGAACTCTGAAAAAATTGTTATGTGAACTACTTGTTCTTCTTCTGTTCTAAATAAATCTTTCTTCTGGTGTTATTTCTAGGTCGCTGATCTGTAAGTTGGTGTTGGAATGCAGTACATCATCTACCCATATGCTTAATGGCCATAGCTATTTCAACCCAAGGAGAGAACCATACTTTGTATAGTATCTTCGACTTCGATCACGTTAGGAGACATTGAAGTTCAAATCACAGCCCTGCAGGCTTGTGCCGCCAGCTCTGTGTTTTATTTTACCCTGTAAAATTGGAATAAACAGAAGACTGCCCCTTGATTGATTGTGACCCAAGATAACTTATGCTTGTTATTTGCCGCCCATGTGCATATTATTGTCTCAACCATGCGAAGAATTGCATGTACTTTTCGGACTTTGAGATTGCAACTTATAATGTCAGACTCATATGGATCCTAATATTCAATTGATGATACTTGAATATTTATCACGTTGTGAACGAGTTTATAAAGATATCGAACGGCACTAAGCCCAGCAAAAAAATCATGACACTTGGTTTTCTTGGCAGTTATTTCCACTGATAAGATCTCTAGGCTCAGAACAATTTGGTTGCAACGGAGTCTTATAACTATTTTGCTATTTCCGGTCAATAATGCAATGTAATGACGAAAAGTTATCATGTGTGTCTTAGCGTTATTGGTCGAGAATGACAAAACAATGTTATCTTCATTTTATGCAGGTGTTTCTCCTAAAGACTCGGCGAAGACAAAAAAAAAGAAAAAAGAAAAAGAAAAAACTTGGCGATCAAAGATGGTTGGAATAATGAGCACATTACAGATGAGCTAGTGACATAGCTTTTTGCGTTTGTTTTGGTGGTGGACACAGCATTTTGTATTGTGTAACTGTTTTTGACCAGCCTATTAAAAACGGCTCTTCAGATCAAAGTTTTAATGAAATTAAAAGGGCCTCCTATAGTGACAAATCTACCCCCTTTGGAAGTTTTTATTTTTGGTTGAAACCCCTACATAATATAAAATTAAATGGGCCTCCTATGATGACAAACCTACCCCCTTTGCAAGGTTACTACATATTATAATATTAAAGAACTAAGCACTTTAAATCTTAATTTTAAAAAAACAATAAAAAAAACAATGGAGGCCAACGAGGATAAAGATATCGCAAATGTAAGTTAGGAAAGTTGACCGAGATAGTGTGCCCGCCTCATTGCAGCCGAGTTCGAAACCCCTCTTCGTATATTAAATTATTTTAAAATATCACATTTGTCAAAGAAAAAAAATGAAAAAAACATACATCTTTACTATAGAAACAGAAAGTCTCTAAAAAATGAGTGCCCTACTACTAAGATCCAATTGGGTTGGGTGAAAACTGAGAAGCCTCAAACCAAAAATGAAAAACTGAGAAGCCCAAAACCAAATAACTTTGGAAGCCCTGAACCTTGAGCCCTGAGTCTCAAGTGACCAAGTCCGAGGCTTCCCCAATGGCTAGCACTACGCTACTAGTACCTACTGGTACAAGTGCAAGTGCTCTTGTTAGCCTCCTCCCCCAGCCAGCAGCTTAACTAGTACCCCTATATAAATTTATGTTATCGCCCACTTGGGTGCTGCCTGTTTTCCCTGCATCACAGCTCTCTTCTCTGTCTTCCTGTCTGATCCTTTCAACAGACTTTAGACTTGTCTTCCTCCGCGCCCTCTCTCTCTCTCTCTCTCTCTCTCTCTATAGGTCTTCAGCTTCTGCTTCGTTTTTCGTGTCATTGTTGATGAACAACCTGACAAACAAAACCCATTCTTTTCTGATAATAATTTGACTTAGAGATTCTTCATTTCATTTACACACGGAGATGGTGTTAATGTTGTGACTTGTGAACCTGACTGGTGGGCTTTTTCAGCGGATGATGATGAGGTCTGCCTGTTGCTCCTTTTCGTTTTCTTGGTTTTTGTTTTGTTTGATGGGTGAGTGGTCTGTCGTCTGTGATTCTCGACAAATTACCCTGACTCATTGATTGGTTTGTTGGTTGGTTGATTCTTGGGGATCGGATTTCATCATTTCTTCTTGTTTTCGTAAGCTTAATTTTGTTATCTCTCTTTTGAATAATCGATCGTTTACTGGATGAGATCTTCTCTCTCTCTCCGATTTTTTAACTTGGGTTTATGAAATCAGCCTCGGTTTCCAATCGGATTCGGTTGGCAAAGCAGAAATGCCTCAGTTGCCATAGAAACAGAGCTCCCTGTTTGGATTCCTCAGATTCAGCTCTTTGCTGTTAGCAGCAGAAAAATGGTCTCTCCTTCGCAACATTCAAACCAGCTCTTTGTTGACGGGTTCCGTTCTCTATTGTGAATGAGATTAGATAATTTCCTGTTAACTTCCTTGCTTCATCTTCAAAAATTTCATCTAAGATCTCGAGCTACGTCCTCTGTTTCAGTAACATAACCATCCAAGCCATTTCCTGGTTTGGTGATAGAAAATTAACATTTCAAAGAGCTATTTGATAGACATTTGGGGTACTGGGTTATGAATAGTTCATGTAATGGCTACCAATTGACATTGAATTGCTGTTCGATGTTATGAATTCAGCTGCATAAATAGATTTGCATTTGGATTTCGCTAATGGGTTGCTGTTGAATTGTGTTTTACAGGTACCAGAGAGTGAGCCCAGATTGTGTCCCTTTGAGCAATGGCAAGAAGCCAGCCATGAGAGCCATATCCAAAGAAGATGGGTTGACAGAGACTCTCACAACCAGCACAGTTTCAACTTTAGAACCCACAAAACCATTCAGATTCCGATCCCAACCCACAACCCAAGACCCGACCCAATCCCAATTCGGAGCCCGACCCACTTCACCCAACTCCGACAACCACCACCGGAGCCCGACCCAGCGGCAGGACAAGAGCCCCAGCCGTACCCCAAGCCCCAGCCGCGGCGCCGGCGATGTGTTGTTGCAGTGGGGCCACAAGAAGCGGTCGAGAGTCTCGAGAACTGAGATCCGAGCAGTGACCGATGAGTCTTCTTCCTCAGCTCAAGCAAGGCAAGCTGGTGTGAAGCTGCAGAGGAGAGACAAGTCTATGCCGCCGCCGCCTCCTCCTCCACCCCTTTCTTCCTCCGCAACGTCGTCGTTTTCCAATGGCAGACTTAGAAAGGAAGCGTCCGCGTTGCTTCCTAGCAGGTACCATATACCTACATCCCAACCTCTTTCATTATTTTGTTTTTATTTTATTTTTTTCCTACGGAATATTGTAATTTTATTGCTGAAGATCAATTGGTAGATTTTTTTTTTGCCAAAAGATCAGTTGGTAGATTGGTTTTTTTTCAAAAATATTTAAAGTCCTTTTCCTCCAATTACGGTGGTCTTTACTTTTTGGGTTATCGTCTTTAGTACGATTGGTTGAATCTGGCTTCATTCTCCGAGTCTCCCCATGCCCTATTTTCCCAACATATGTTATGAATTTATTGTGGATTTTTTTCCAATTTGGGTCTGAAGGCTGAGGTTTTGTTTTGTTCTGTGTGGGAAACTGTTGAATCTTTGGATCAAGATCTAATTTACAAAAAGCAATGTTCTTTTGGTACAACAAACCCATGTTCTTGTCTAGCTGCTTGCTGCTGTTCAATCCAAGTTGAAAGATCACTTTTTTATTTATAATTTTTCATCTAGTTTACCTTTTTACCCCTTGACATAGCATGCAATTTCATTAATCATCTCTCTCTCTCTCATGAGTCTCAGTCTCAGCTCTCATTTAGTGGGTATCAAAAGACCAATAGTTTCAAGTTCAAATGCTCTGTTTTGCTTTGTTTTGCATTTTTGGCAGTAGGTTAGAATAATCTTGTTCATAAATTCCCCTTGCTACCCTTTTGTCCTCTTCTTCAAAAGACGGAAAAACACAATCCCATCTCTTTGAAAATCATCTCCCCCATTTCCCTTTTTCTTTTTTTTTTCTTTTTTATTATTGGAATTTGTAGTATTTAGATTAGATTTTCTTGGAGATAGTGAGCGTATTTTAGTAAATTAAGGATGCATAAATAGTAAGGTTCATATGCTTTTCTTCATTTAAGTGAGTATTAAATTCTGTCTTTATCTGTTGCCTTTTCCCTCTGATTTATCTATCTGCCCTCCTGGGAACCCTTTTTCTTTTTTTTTTCTTTTTTATTATTGGAATTTGTAGTATTTAGATTAGATTTTCTTGGAGATAGTGAGCGTATTTTAGTAAATTAAGGATGCATAAATAGTAAGGTTCATATGCTTTTCTTCATTTAAGTGAGTATTAAATTCTGTCTTTATCTGTTGCCTTTTCCCTCTGATTTATCTATCTGCCCCCCTGGGAAGTGTAGAAGCTCCAAAGCCCCCCCCTTTTTTTTTTTTTTTTCTGCATCCAATACCAAACACCACCTTCATCCATCTTCTGCTCACCCATTTATTGCACCTCCTCTTTGGCCATGACCAGGAATTTAGAAGATCGATCTGCTGTGGTTAATGGGTCCCCATCAAGAAACCCAAATGGCGGCAGCAACAGCCGAGCTGTTTCTAGATCTACGGCTGGGAAAAGATCTCCTCCTCCTGAGAAAAATGACAGAAAGCTGCCTCCTTGCTCAGGCAGGTCATCAGCCAAAGATGACAAGTCAAATGGACCCTCTGTGCAAGTTGATCGTCAGCACCATGCTGATTCTGCTTCATTGCAATCGGACCAATTAGCTGCCACTGCTAATTGTGCTGCACCAGTTGCAGCAGCAGATAAGGTCAACTATGAAGTGGTTGAGTGGCCTAGAATTTATATTGCCCTGTCAAGAAAAGAGAAGGAAGATGATTTCCTTGCAATGAAAGGCACAAAGCTCCCCCAGAGACCCAAGAAAAGGGCCAAAAACATTGACAGAACCCTCCAGGTATAATAAATATATAATTGTTTTTCCGTTTTATCTGCATTCGAATGTAATTTTTAATTCCTGGGTATTAACTGGAAACAACTTTTATTCATTTATTTTTTTGTGGGTTGTTGTGGTTTTGGTTTTGGCAGTATTGTTTTCCAGGGATGTGGCTGTCTGACTTGACAAGGAATCGCTATGAGGTCAGGGAGAAGAAATGTGTGAAGAAGGTAATTTGCTGCACTGCTCATTCTTGCCAAATAAAATTTCCTTTCTGGTGCTAAATTTTCTGAAAAATATGACTTGTCCCTATTACTTTTTTGCTTAGAGGGAATAATTGGGTGCTTAAAGTGGAGAATAATAATAATTATGACGGTGAAAAGTGAAAAACAAAATTAATTATGATGGAGAATAAGTCGTATAGATTATTACATAATTAATTAGCTAAATAATTTTGTTGTCCACTAATTAATTTGTGTTGATTATGGGTGGCTTGCATATGCAGCAAAAGCGAAGGGGGCTCAAGGGAATGGAGAGCGTGGACAGCGATTCCGAGTAGTACTAGTATTTTATTCCCCCACAATGTAAAACTTATTAAAAAAAAATGATAAAAACAAAAAAAAATTTGAGAGAGTGAGAGAGAGAGAGCCCTCTCCATCCAAAGTCAGTGGGACCCTTTTGATAGTCCACCTGCCCTTGCTTTGTAGGACACACCATGTCTTTGCTGTCGTTTTGCAGATCACGATCTGTCGTTTTGATGAGCAGAGACAAAGCAGCTGAGATGTTGTTGTTCTTGGGCTCAAGGGTGGTGGTGGGGGTTTTGTTTTTGAATTTGAGGCATTTTGTTGGGTCACGGACTGAGAGGTGTACAGTACAGACGACTTTAAAGAGCCTCATGACTTGGTCTGTGGACCCCCAACTCTGCTTGCCTTTGATAAATTATAACTAGAATTTTCTTTTCTTTTCAATGTTGTTGTTTTTTCATTAATTAATTTTAAATTTGTTGGGTTTCTGTCATTGATTAATTTTGCCGTAAATCTTTTTGCTATTTTTCATGCTAATCTCGTGTACAAAGCTGCTTCGTATGCAGACAAAAGCTGTTTCACTTTTCCATTTAAAAAAAAAGAAATATTGATTAACTTTTCTTTATTTCAATTGGGTTTGGGCTCACAAATAGCTGACCAACTACATGGCCTTGTAAACAAAACCGTTGGATCGAACTAACTAACGACTGACCAATCTGATTCAATAGTCAAAACATAGATCCTTATTTAAGGGCCTTAATAACCTCATTATATAATTTTACCACTAGAAAGAGGCTAATCTTACTAATGTGTAAAATTCAATGAAACATAAGTGGTAGTGGGTGTACATAGATTCCACCACTAACCTTGGCAAAATGGTCAACAAAAGTCAACGCAAATGAGTGGGCTTTGAATTCCAACACCATCAATTTCAACACTCATTATAACATTACGCGTTGTTTCTGGCCTCCTATAAATTCACTTGTATTTGTATTGTGTGCATCAAATTAAGAAAACTTTGCATAATGGTAATGGATAGGTGCAATGCTAACTTATTCAACCATACTTATCTCTCCAATATTGCTCACTATTTGCTCCTTTTCTCTTTGGCCTCTTCATGTCTACACCTTACTGAGCTTCGTTTGGTTGATGGATGCCTCCAGGAAGAGATGCAAGCACTTCTTAGCTTTAAACAGCATCTTACCGATCCCTCCGGTAGGCTCTCTTCTTGGGCTGGCCACAATTGCTGCCACTGGAAAGGAGTTTCATGCGACAACAGCAGTCGTCGTGTTACAAAGATTGACCTCCGTAACACATATGAAGATCGCTTGTTTGATGATTACGGTGGCGATTATGGTGAAGAGCGGGACGAGGCAGCTTATGAAGAGTCTTTCTTGCGGGGTAAGATAACTTCATCTCTGCTCAGCTTGAAGCATTTAAGCTACCTAGACCTGAGTGACAATAACTTGCAAGGGATTAGCATTCTTTGCCAACTTCAAAGTTTGAGATATCTCAACATCTCATTTGCATCATCTGATGGAGGGATTCACAATTGCTTTTTCAATCTTACCAACCTCAAAAAACTTGATCTAAGTGGCATTTCTTTCAGTGGTCATTTTCCAAGCGAACTCGCAGGCCTCAAATCTTTGGAACACCTTGATTTGTCTCATAATTTTCTGAAAGGTAAAATTCCCAAACTCATTGGAAACTTTTGCAATCTAAAGTTCTTAAGTCTCGAGGACAACACATTAGATGGGGGGATTCAAGAGCTTTTGAGTGGTTTCTCAAATTGTACCAATAATAGACTAGAGTCACTAGATTTGTCTAGTAATGAGTTTGTAACAGAATTACCTGCCTCCTTAGGAGTGCTAACAAACTTGCAGCATCTTCACCTTGAAGGCAACTCATTTTGGGGATCAATACCAACTTCTGTTGGAAACTTGTCATCCTTGAAAACTCTAAACCTTCGAGGTAACAACATGTATGGGTCCATTCCTGAAAGTTTTGGGCAACTTTCTGAGTTAGTTGACCTGGGTTTGTCTCAGAATTCGTGGAAAGGCATTGTAACAGAAACACATTTGATGAATCTCACTAGATTGCGACATCTCGATGTGTCCACAGACCAACCTATGTCACTAATTTTCAGTGTGGCTTATGAATGGGTTCCTCCTTTCAAGCTCTACACAATTGACATTACCAATTGTAGAGTTGGTCCTGCTTTTTCTGTATGGCTTCAATGGCAGACCGAACTATCTGATGTCACCCTTCACAACACTGGAGTCTCAGACTCTATACCAGAAGAATGGTTCTTGAAGTTATCTTCCAAACTCCAACATATGGATTTATCTTACAACCAAATCCATGGAAGGCTTCCATTTCAATTCAAATGTCCATATTTATATCATATAGATTTGAGTCACAATCATTTTGAAGGTCCACTCCCACTTTTATCTTCTAATGCCTCTATCCTCGATTTTCAAAGCAATTTATTGTCAGGGCCTATTCCCTTAGATTTTGGACAACTGATGCCCAAATTGGAAATTTTGTATCTGTCTGAGAATCATTTGAATGGTGCTATTCCAGCCTCTCTTTGCAACATGCAAAACTTGTCAATGCTCTCCCTAAGGAGGAACCAGTTAAGTGGAGAATTCCCTCAAGCATGGAGTCTGTGGCACAATATAGTGGTAGTAGATGTGGCAGACAATAATCTCTCTGGCAGTATTCCAAGTTCAATGGGTGTCCCAAGTTCTCTTATCATATTGAAGATGAACAACAACAATTTTGTCGGCAAAATTCCTTCTGGTTTGAAAAATTCAACATCTTTGTGCAGCATTGATCTTGGAGGCAACAAATTTACTGGAAGTGTTCCTTGGTGGATTGGATCAAACTTGTCCATGTTGTCTACTCTACGATTGCGATCCAACTTGTTAAGTGGACATATCCCCCACCAGTTGTGCTATCTTCCCTACCTTCACATCCTAGACCTTGGTGATAACAACTTTTCTGGGACAATTCCCCAGTGTTTGGAGAATTTGACTGCTCTGACCCTTTTTCCATACAATAATTATACCATGCCTACATATTATGATGTTCAAACCTCAGTTGTGTCGAAAGGAAGTGAACTCGTTTATTACAGGACGGCTTTGGAATGGGTATATAGCATTGATCTTTCATCAAATAATTTAGAAGGTGAAATCCCTGAAGAAATAACCAGCCTCATGTCATTAGGGACCTTGAACTTGTCAAGAAATCAATTAAGGGGAAGAATTCCCCCAAAGATTGGAAATTTACGATGGTTGGAAAGTCTTGACCTCTCACACAATCACCTTTGCGGACAAATTCCTCAGAGTTTCTCCTCATTGACATTCTTGTCTCATGTGAACTTGTCTTATAACAACTTGACTGGAAGAATTCCTTTGGGGAACCAACTCCAGACGCTCAATGACTCATCCATTTATGGGGGCAATCCATCACTCTGTGGCCTTCCTCTTTTAACCAAGTGTCCGGGAGACGACACACCTAATAGACTACCTTTTCCTTCTAGTGGGGCAGGAGAAAACAAAGATGAAGGTGATGAAGGAATGCTTTGGTTCTATGTCAGCATCATGCTCGGCTTCATTGTAGGCTTCTGGGGTGTTTGTGGCACATTACTCATAAAGAAGTCATGGAGGTATGCCTATTTTCGATAAGGTAGTGTGCGTTAGCAATTGCATTGAAAGTTAGTCATCTGCAAAACAAATTTTGATTGGGAAAAAAACATTTCTTTGAAGCTTAAACACTTCGAGAAATTTGGTGAATTCATATAGTTGTATGCGTGATGCTGCTTTCTTCTATATATCTTGTAATATGTAATAAGTAAGTCATCTGCTAAAAGACTCTGCTTGCATGTTCTGTAAACATTTTTATTTTCTGCTTGGATTTTGTACTTGATCAGTAGACTTGCAAACTTCATAAGTTGAGGTATATACTTTACCCTAGGTTCAAGGTTCGAACTCCGCTCCCCTAACTATGGTTCGTCAAACAAAAAAAAGAAGGAAATTCAGAGAGTAGCATTCCTTTACAAATCAATCATTTTTAAGTAGTGCAAGACTTAGCAACTATTGTTTATTGGCAAAGAAACTGTCGCCCAAACACATTGACACATTTGCAACCATGAATAAGAATAACCCAGAAATTTCTTTCACTGGTTTTCAAGTTCATGCCAATCACGGTTAATGATTTTTTATTACCTTGAACACGACTTATAAATTTATTAAGAATGAGTCCTTGGCCCCTTGTTTGTCTCTCTCAATAGTCACCCACTAATGGATTTGTTAATTCACCCATCAAAGACTTGATGCCAAAACTTTGCAGGGTTTAGTCTTATTTATGCCAATAATTAATGAGATTTTCTATTTAAACCCCACACTTCTCTTAGTTCACCCCATGTTCTAAGTTCACCCCAACTTTTAATTTAAATTTTCACAATTTCTAAGAAAACCCCACTATCTTCCCAAACTACCCTTAAATACACCCCAAACTAAAAAAATAAAAACTAAAAGAGATTTTCTATTTAAATCTCACAATTTTCTTTGTTCTCAGCAAAAAAAAAAACACAAACAAATGAAACTCCAAATCTGAAATTTAATATTTTCTAGAGAAAGAAAACAACTTTACCTTTCTCCAAGAAAGGTAACTGGAATTCTAACACTTGGGTATTGTTGAGTTGAGAGAGAGAGAGAGAGAGAGTTTGTAAACAGGAAGTTGGAAGGAGGTTTTTAAAACTTAATATAAAGAGTGGTGGGGTGTGTGGGGTTGTGTGTATAGATATACTAGGGTTAATTATTAAGTTGGATGACCTTTTTTTGTCTTTTTATATAATAATAAAACTTACAGCTTAATGATTTAAGTATTGGGGTGAACAAAGAGAAGTGCGGGGTTTAAATAGAAAATCTCTAATTAATTTGCCAATCTAGCAAGCAAACTAGTAAAATGGGTTGAGGACTTTGAATATGGACATCCTTGTTTTCAATATTGATAGCTTCCTATAAATTTACTTATGCTCAGAAGCCATATGCAACAAATTAGGAAAGCTTTGCATAAAAATGGGTAACTTGAACCCTGCATATCACCTCAATGTTGCTCTCCACTATTTGCTCTTTTTCTTCTTGGCATCTTCGTTCCTACAAACTTGTGTGAAATCATGCGTTGAGGAAGAGAGGCGTGCTCTTCTCACCTTTAAACAAGATCTTACTGATCCCTCAGGCAGGCTTTCTTCTTGGGTCGGTCAAAATTGCTGTTGGTGGAGAGGGATTTTATGCGAAAATCACACGGGTCATGTTGCAAAGATGGACCTTCGGAATCCACATGTGCCATCCTATGATGATCAAGTATGGGACGAGGTGACTTATCAACGGTCTTTCTTGGGTGGTAAGATAAATCCATTATTGCTTAGCTTGAAGCATTTACAATACCTTGACCTAAGCAATAATAATTTTCATGAGATTCA